TATCCTATCATGTATAATTTTTCATTCCTGCTTCAGGTTCCTATAGATTCATGTTACATTGGTTCGCACAATTCTGCATTTCTTCAGCAGGTAAGCTAACTGTACGTGATTCTTAATGGGTCATTTATTTCCCACCCAGAATCTTACCATCTCAGGCTGTATCCTCTTTTCATTTGCTGGTGGTGATTTGATTTCTGATGCTGGATAGGCTTCTTACATAACTGGTGGCGTTTATCTGAAGCCTCAGCAAATGGATGGGCTGTTTCAGTATCTCTCTGTGGGTTTTACTTCCCTGTTGCTTTCTCTTTCTCCCTCCAAGTTCAAAGTGTTTGCTTACTTTTCGCATCGTTTTAGGATTTTTAAGTTACAGTTTAGTCGAATCAATGACTTCTTACTGAAAATTGTGACTGATTGTGGATCAGGAGGCTTTCTTTAGTTCCTATAGTCTCTTGCTTACTTCGATGTGATATCGTATTGTTTTTTTTTTTTCTGCAGACAGTGTTTGCGACTGATTTGCATTCCCGGACCTTCTTACAGCTTCCGAAGTCTGTTGGTGTCGATTTTCGTGCATCGTAAGTTCGATGTCTTGTGACTTGCACAGTGCTGTGGTTTTGTGCTCTTATTATTTTGCCCCTCTCATCGTCATTTTTTCGTTTCTGTATCCAACAGAGAAGGCAATTGCTAGTGCCTAATTAATTGGGAATTTGCAGGTGTTTCTGCCACAAAAAAACAATTGATATGGGCTTTGTCTGTTCTGTTTGTTTATCTATATTCTGCAAGCATCACAAGAAATGTTCTACCTGTGGGTAAGTGAAATGTCAATCCTTAATTATTATATATATTTATTGAAGGCAGTTTGATCTATGTGTGAAAAGGAAGAGGAAGAGTAAGATTTTTGAGAACTCATTATGCTAGGATTTCTTTTTCTTGGTCAATTAATATTTACCCTGAAAATTTTGGAAGAATTCGGTATGACCTGATATAAAGGATTCTGCCACATCTTTAGTGTAACGGCCCAAGCCCGCCTCTAACAAATATTGTCCTCTTTGGGTTTTCCTTTTCGAGCTTCCCCTCAAGATTTTTAAAACACATATGCTAGGGAGAGGTTTCTACACCCTTATAAAAAATGTTTTGTTCTCCTCTCCAATTGATGTGAATCTCACCTTTAGTTTCTTGCGGTCATTGTTTGAACTCCGGGATTGGAATTTTGGGTAGTAAGAAATTATAATTTCTTTATGTTGGGATGGAAACTACAACATTGTTGTAAGGAATCGAGACACTTCATAAAGGTTCGAAGAACAACTTTTGACATTGTAAGCTTATTATTGCTCGGTAGACGTTTCAGACGTGAGTCTGCCTATAATATGTGTATCCACTTCTAAACAAGCCTGTGCCTATTATTGATGAGTTTTGATTCATTCAGGTCAGTTTTTGGTGAGACCCCAGTAGCTGTCGATTCAGTAGTGTCGAAACTGAAGAGAAAAACTCCAGAAACATGATTCAACTCTGCTGTAAGTTGCGATAGACCATTTCTTTGAACCATATTTTCTCCTCACTTTTATGGCTGTGGAACTGTTCCCATTTTTCTTTCTTCCCTTTCTTGAGCTGTTTGGAATTGGAATTGGAATTGGAATTTTTTTTGCTGATAACTGAATTAGTCTAAATGATGGAATTTGGTTCATCTGGTTTGAGCAGGAGATGACTCAGATCTGAAAGAGGGTCGGTCTGGACATTGTACGATTCAGATCGTTAGTTCGAACATTCTCAGTAGTTGGGTCAGGCAATGTGGAACGATAACAAGCTAGGTCATGCATCTGTATTCATCTTTTCCAGGCCACACAAATCTGGTAACAAGGTTTCTATGGAACTTGAGAGACTTCAACTGGAAAAGTTAGTCTGATGCACTTGTACTGAAAGCTTGAACGGCTTAGAAGTAAATATAAATTTATTTTTTTGCTGGAAGTACGACAGTTTGAGCATATATAATTTACCATTTCAGGTTAGAAAAAGTTTCTTCAACTGTGATGCAACAAATTCACTAATTCAAATTTCGAACTTTGTAAAACTTTTCACAACACAATGTAGAACTGGGAACAAAGCTACTGTACAAGATTTACAATGCCATATGAACCAATAACCAAAAGAAAAAATAAACAACGATGCCATTAGAAACGAGCACAGTTATTTAAATCAGTTGATGAATAATGAAAAGGGAAATAAACCCCAAACAACATCATACGTTTGTTGAATATCAGTAGCTTCTTCAGAGCACCTTCATCACCGCTTTGCTTGTATGATGGACACCGGTGGCAGCCAGTTTCAATATAGCTCGACCCTTGTACAAGCTGCAATATGCAAAACTTGGGTAAAGTTACACGAAACCAATCCCCAAGCAATAACTCATAGCTTGCTTGACGAGTAGACAATTCATCAAACAATCCGACATTTAAACAAATAAAACTAATTTGAAAGAAAAGATGATACAAAGAAACAGAAACGTGTCAAACGCATCGGTGAAGAATTCCTTCTGCCTCTGCGATGAAATTGAAGTGGGGTAACAAAACTAAAGAGCTTGGAAGTGAATAATCCCCGGGTCACCAGATTTACCCATTCAAGAATCAATGAATGCTATGTGATGTGGGCTCCTAGTTTGGGAAGCTCTAGTTTTTTTGACAAGAGCTTGCACAATGAACTTAAGATCCAAGCATGCTGAGATTTATCCTCCTTGTAATTCAACAATCACAAGCTTAAGAGTTCCGAAAGGTAAATCCTCCTATCAGGTATACTGTTTTGTACTCGACACTAGGTATTGAGAAAAAAGGAAATGGCAATCATTTTTCGACACGATAAATAAATCAACAAAAACTGACCCAGCCAGTGCAAGTCCCCAGGTGGCTAAGGAATAAAACAGCAACCCAGCATGCCAAATTTCAAACATCTTCTCAATTGTGCCGCCCATACTATCCAACGCCTTTGCTATTGCTGCAAATAGATGTAAAGCAGCACAAAATGTTAACTCAACAATTGCAATCGCCGAGTGTAACCCCACAGTCCAGAAGTTGAATTAACAAAAGGAAAGACATACTTTTCTGCAGCTCCTCAGGTGATACATTCTGCATTTTGGAAAACTTCAATATTTAAGATTCGTTATAGAAATCCAGGCAGAAATTCCATTCGAAGTGATAGGCATACCCGAGTTTTTGGGTTTGACATTATACATCTAGCCATAAAGTGGGCAACTGCATCCACCACATGTTCCTCAGATACAATCACATAACTTTCATCATCAATTCCACTCCATTCCTCAACTTTGCTCGGAACCATATCTTCAGTAACCCATACCCACCAACTGGGTGCTTCACGGCTAACATTCACAAGAATGTCAGCTGTGTGTGAATCAGCTTCTAATCAAAGAATCAAACATGGGAGAGTAAATTCATCAAGCAATCAATATGAAAACGAGACTTCAGTACCAACTAATGGATTATGCTTGGCTCGATAAAGGAAAAAAGAAAAAACCTGTAGCTTCCCTGAAAGGAAATTCATAGGTGATTCCATCTTTTGATGCTTCGTTGAGGGATTTTATTTCATTTAAGAACTTTTCAGAATCCACTGTCGCAACGAGACGAGCATACAACTGGAAATTTACATTGAGTTAATCGCAGGAGTTATGATAGAAAAAAAAAAAAAACTTCAATAATTGAAAGGAATCAAATACCAAACTATGATAATTATGTATCCCAGCTCAGGAAAGGAAACCACATGCCTTCAAATCTCAAACAAAAACTTATCTGCATAACTAAACTAGGGCCGGAAAGATTCATAATTATTTGAAAACACCGTTTCATCGGCATTAAACAAGTGATGATTTAGAAAGGGAAAATAAATCGTTTCAACCATAAAATTGGAAACAGCACGAAATTACAATACCAGGAAAGCTTAGAAAATAAACCAAAAGCAGGCAAAAGCTTGAAAAAGAGGGCAAATGGAGGAAATACATCGGGAGGGCAATCATTCAACAGACAGTGCGATTCGGATAACTTCTGAAGGAGGTCGAGATTTTGTTCGAGCAACTTCCTCAATCTCCGATTCTCCAATCGCAGAGCGTCGAGGTTTTCTTCTTCTGTAGGAGTGCGCTTGGTGGCATCATCGCCAGGTTTATGGTGATTGTAACACTCAATCGCTGTCCAGGCCACGTCTGCAACCTCCATGGCCGTCTTGGCCACCTCCAGAGCACCATGGCCGCCTTTCATCCGGACAAACCTTCCGTCGCGATCACCCTGCTTCAATAATGGCGTCGATATGATGCCGGAGGCCTCCCTTATGGAACTCGGAAGGATAACGAGTCCCAAAATTGGAAAATATATATAAATAAATATTTAGAAATTGGGCAAAATAGACTTTTTAGTTCTGTGTTAATATTTATTAAAATCTCCGAAATTGAAAAATCGAAGAATTTAATCCGAAAATCTGAAGCTTTAAATTTATATTATTTGTTGGTGATTTGGACTGTGACATGGCAATGAGGTGGCATCTTCTACTAATTTAATTTAAGGGTAAATTTAAGTTTTTATTAAAAACTTATATTATTAATTTTCAAATATAAATATAGTATTTAATCTTCCCACAGCTTGGAAATATTAAAATTTTAATATATTTTTTTTTTAAACCAAGGTGAACAATGACACGACCATAGTCATGGGACCAAATATTTTAGGGATTAAAATAGTAAAAAATAGTAAACTAATTGGTTTTGAAAAAGTGCTAATTTTCAAAAGCGATCAACTGACGGTGACGGCGTCAATATTGTTTACGTAAATAGCCCATCAAATTCTCGTCATCCCTAAATCGACCGACCCGGTCCAATCGGTCCAATTTCTCTGCCAGACCGGAAGATGACGTGGCTTGTAGGTTCTTTTTTCATTTCAAACGGACGGCGGAGATCGAGATCGATATTTCATGAGATCTTCAGTCTGTACGAGCACCCACACAGTAACAAAATCTCCCCCTCTTTTTTCTGTCAAGCAGAGTCATTCTTGGAAAGTCCTAACACACTTTCAGAGCCCATAATTTCTTCCTTCGCACAGAGAATCGGTGCGAGTCGCAGAAGAGCAAAATGGCGGAGGAATTACAGGACAACGATGCTCCGAATGAAGAGGCCATGGATGTAGATGTTGGTATAGAGACGAAGATTCAGAACGCTATGCTCTCTCGCGTCTCTCACTTCAAGGAACAAGCCGAGTGAGCTTCCTTTCTATTTCACCTTTTCTCATTTTCCGTGAGCGTACTCATCTGTGGGGACTTGTGAAGCATGTTTTGTAGTTTGTGTCTTCTGCGAGGAGTTTCTCTCTTTTCTCTGTGATTTTTGGTGTTTTTGTTTCAATTGCTATTATTGATGCTGTAGTGTTTATCCTGCACCTGCGAAAATGCTTATTAGACCACCTCTAGATGGATTTTTCTTCATATTTATTTTTATCTCGGTAGTATGTTCCTCGTTTAGTTTAATTATGTGTAGGTATGTTTTGGGAGCTATGTAAGTTTTAGACCCTATACCGTCAGCTGAGTTTCATGTCTCTATGTTCTCGGTGGTTCTAGGGTTTCTTTTGGGCATTGTAATCTATAAAAGAGAGGAGAATTTTGTATCTATTCCATTCTTCTCGGTATGGTTAAATGTTTGGGCGGTTGTATAAGCGGCTTTTATTGTTCGTTATCAAATTGTAGGTTCGTGTCTAAACATAAGACAAGAATAACGTTAACGTCACTTTCCTTCATGTAGATGCACGTGTGTAGCAATAAGACCTTTTCATCTGTTTGTAACTGTTACGTTTTGAATTGACGCAATTATATTGTTCTATTACATTTTCTTTGTCTTTCACGGCCACTAGGGAAAAATTATTGGACGAGAGTGCCACAAGGTGATTGTCTTTTACTTTCCATTAGATGTAGATCAAAAAATTTTCAGGCCCTCTAATAATCATTGGTACCGAATTCAAGATACTTTTTCTGTTATCTCTCATACATCCGACGGTGCTTAACTAGTAGCCATAGTGTTGGCTTCCCAAATAATTTCTCATCACTGGGAGTTGGTTTGGAAACCAATTTCATACCAGTTGCTGAATTTGTTTTCATAACTAATTTTAGTAACCATGGATGTGCACTTGCAAAAATCAAGTTTTTCTAGAATATTTCATCGTGAATGCAGGGGAGGTATTTGAACCTACAATCTTTAGGAGGTAGACATTTACTTACCAATCAGCTATACTTGACAAGAACAATAGAGTTATTGTCTCTCACGTCACTTTTCACAACCCCATAGATCGAAAGAAGAATAAGTTCGACTGTTTCTTAAAGCCATCAATTACGCAAAATCAGGCCATCTAAGAAAACAAGGGAACAATGGTTTTTAAAATCAGTTACTATATATAATTTCACTATTTTTTTTTTCTCACTAGCATAAAGCAGATTTGAGATGTCTCCCAAACAAGAATTGGTACTTTTTGTTTCTTTGCGCACTTGCTTATTTTGTGACCTTGACAAATATTTTTATGTCATAGATCTATAACCAGCTGGAATTTGAACATCTGGTATAGTGCAATTGTCTTGAGTGCAGTTGTGTAGAATCATCAACATTGTGAGTGGATTTGAATGAACTTTTTTAATATAACTTTAGAAGATGGCGTGTCTTTATTTCTAAGATAAGACACAAGGATGTTACTCTGCATTCTGCATTTGAAAACTTTCGTACTTTCCTTTCAACTTATAAGAGGTGTTGGTACCAAGCACAATGGCGGGACATTATTATGGGCTCAAGATACCTGTCTTTGTAGAAAAATCTCACGACATTATTAAACACCACTATTTAGAGGCTGGTTAAAAAGTTCGGATAACTTGTTGGTATCAGTATAACCTTACTGGCAGCAGCATAAGTGGAAGTTTTGACTCATTAGTTTTTTCAGTACAAGAAATTTGATTTATTACTTTATTAATTTATAATCCTTATTTATAAGAATAGTTAAAAATCTTGATGCCTTATCCAATCTTCTATTTATTTGTTTGTTTTTCGTCACAGCTCTTTAACTTTTGAGGGGGTTAGAAGATTGTTAGAAAAGGACTTGTGTATGGAGACGTACGCTTTAGATGTGCATAAAAGATACATCAAGCAGTGTTTGGTGAAGGTAATGTTTTCTTCTTTCTCTGTTTGTGACATCTTGCTTTTCTTGAAGGTGGCATCCTATTTCTGTTGTGCCTTCTGCTCAATGATATTATGTTCAGTAAGTTTTATTTTTGATATTTATGGTGACATTTACTAAGTTCTATTATTGTAACGAATGATGACAATTGAAAGAGTAGAAGAGTCTTATGGAAAAAGTGGCTTTGTTTTTTCTTTTATTATCAAACTGTTTCACAAGAAGCTCAACTCGAGTTGCCAAAGATCTATAATGGGAATATGGACCTAAGAAATATGCTCTTGTAGGTTTATTGATTCTTGATAGAGCATTAGGATAATACCTCCCTCCCCAATAGAAAAATTATATATACACATCACGGCATTGACTTATTAATCCAGACTTATCCCATAAACCATTGAAGGAACCTTTATCTTTTTGGCATGAATATTGGATCACCTTCATCAAGTTAGTTCATTCATCTGTTTCTTGATCATCCAAACTCTTTGTGAGTACTCTCCTCGATTAAAACTTTAAACATTTGAACATGACATCTTATCCAAGTCTTGTCACTAGCGTTAAATAGTCGACATGTGAATCTTCTAAATATGTTGTAATTGAGTAAGTTTACTGAACTTGCTTGGGATTTCTTGTTGTTTCCATGTACGTGAATCTGAATGTAGAACAGTTGATGTGTGGCATCCAGCTCAAATTTACACTTATCTTTCAAGTAGTGGCTACAAAAGCCATACTTGGAAATATGTGGAATGGCGAATTTCTAGAATTTTGGAGTGAGGAGGGACATTGGGTGTGGTTTGGGACATTACTCGTTTTTTTGGCCTTTGCTTGGCGTACTCTCTCTGCTCTATCTTATTCTGCAATTATAGTCCTATCGACTGACACATGAACTCAGGTCTCTCTTTGTAATATATACTTAAATGAATTTCACTTCTTATTGAATAAATATATTCATTCATAATTGAAAATAGTATGTTCCAGGTACTTTCTGTGGTGTCTTTTGAGATTCAGAGTTTTTAATTTCTTCAATACAATGTTATTATTCTTGAATTGAGTTTTTTTTTATTTTTTATTTTTTATTTGTTTCTGTATCTTAGTGCTTAGAAGGTGTGGAGGAAGACAATGCCTCAAAGTCTTCTGAGGAGACTGGGGGGAAAAGTGTGAGTAGAGGAGAAGCTGCTGAGTCACTTGAAGGGCATCAGTCCAAGAAAGGTGCAAAGGAACCTTGCTTGGAAGATGAGGAGAAAATGGAAGACTCTCCAGTTATGGGCCTTCTCGCAGGACATAAAACAAAAAATGTTGAATCTGACAAAATCAAAGGAATCAAAGACAAAGATGACAAAGATATTCCTACTGAGAGTACAATTAAGAAAGCTATTAGAAAAAGAACTCCTTATCTTAAAGCTAATTCGGAGTAAGTTCTTATTATTATTTTAATTATTGATATCTTAATGCTATGGATTTTCCATAGTTTATGTTATATTAATCCATGTCCCTTTTCCTGTATTTTGATCCCTGTTGCTTTGTTGAAGTCCAAAATTGGTCTGGAAGAACATAATGAAACCATAAAAATTTTCTTTTTAAAATTCATAATTCATTGTTTTACCTCTTGTTCACACCAAACATTGTGGAATTGAAACCGGATTTAGCTCCAACTGAGTAATTGTTTCAAGAATGGGTACTAGAGTTACTAATCAGGTACTTTTCATAAAGTCATAATTTTGAAAAAAGTATGATATACTAATTTTAGTATTCATTTCTTTCTTAGAAATCTCACTTTACAGCTTATAAAATAATTGGGAGAAAAAAATGACTATTAGTCTTGGTAGTGAGCTTTTACAACATTTGCACAAGAATTGAACTGTGGCCATGATTTGAACACTCACCATCTTTTAACGACTAATTGATTTCAAATATTTATCTTGTATGCACTTAACTTCTTGAGTCTTATAAGTCATTTGTTACCACGAAGCATTTGTACAGAAAGGGGGTGGGATAGAGAGAGGAAAGAGGGTGGGAGCAGGGACTGATCTTCTTCTCAATTGGAAATTTCCTTCCCCATAACCTCATGAATCATTCTTGATTTCTGGTGGGACTACCCACCCACAAAATGATTCTTGTATCTAGCTGTACAACTAGCGTAGGAAAGGGAGGAAATGATTCTCAATCCTTTGTTCTTATTCTGATTTGGAACATAGGACCTTGGATTATTACTGTCTAATTTGTTATCATGTTATTTGCCTAGATGCTCGAATAGAAAATAAATAAATAATAAAAACAATGTGCTTATTCAGGAAAGTTACTATGGCTGGAGTTCGCCGCCTTCTTGAGGATGACCTTAAACTTACTAAATATGCTCTCGATGGTTGTAAGAAGTTTATAAGCCAACAAGTAGAGGAGGTTAGTCAATCCTGTTGAGTTTCCATTTTTCTAGGTTATAATGTCAAGCATACTGATAATTTTCTTTTATGAATATTAAAATCAGATATTGAATTCTTGTGAAGCTGCTGAGGAAGTGTCTAATGAAAAGAAAGGTTCTCGTTTGAAAACTCCCAAAAAGGTAAGCAAAGAAAGCTCTCATTCTACAGAAGGGGGGAGCAGCAGTGAGGAGGAAAGCGATGAAGTAAAGCCTGTAAAGAAAAATGTAACTAAAGGAAGAATATCAAACTCTAATGAAACGAAAAAGCGGAAAAGATCTACAAAGGAGATTGTCTCTGCCAAGAAGCAAAGAAAGCATGTCCAGCACACATCGGAGGAGGATAGTGATGAAGAAGGTGGTGAGAATGTCTCTGAAGATGGCCATTCTGAATCATCCAATGAAAAACCTGTGAAGGTTAGATTTATTTTTCTCCTCCCCTATCTGATGGTTAATAAATTGACTTTGGGTGATTTTTTCAAACCTCACAGAAAGAAGTTTCAACTCCTGTCTATGGCAAGCGTGTGGAGCACTTGAAATCGGTTATCAAATCATGTGGGATGAGGTTTTGTTTCTAGTCCTTACCGTTTGTGTGCTTAACTTCTGAGTTGACCTGTAAAGAATAAAGATCAATAATCTCTCTTACAGTGTTCCTCCATCAATTTATAAGAAAGTGAAGCAGGCACCTGAAAGCAAACGTGAATCACAACTTATAAAAGAGTTGGAGGGGATACTATCCAGAGAAGGATTGTCTGCTAATCCCACGGAAAAAGGTAAACGAAAGGAAATCTCTGATGGTGGGTGGGTGGGGGGAACTAGATTTTAATCTAACCTGTTTGACCTGGTTTCCTCCGTGTAATTTTGCTTTTTGAATGAAATTAGTTTCATATGAGAAGAAGACACAGACAATAAGTTAAATTTATATGTAACTATGTACTTTGGAGGGCTTTTTTGGGTTATCAGCTCTATCGTATCTGGTATATTAGTAAACATACTAGAAGATAAGAGCAGCAGTTTATAGTTGATCATTATTTATTGTTGTTCACAATCAACATCGTGTATCTTATGGTGATCAGAAATTAAGGATGTCAAGAAGAAGAAGGAAAGGGCCAAAGAGCTTGAAGGCATTGACTTAAGTAACATTGTCTCAAGTTCTCGTAGAAGATCCACATCCAGTTATGTAGCACCACCTCCAAAACCAAAAATACCAGTTAAAACTGAAGGTGATGATGTTGATGATACTGATGATGAGGAGGAGGAGGATGATGATGATGATGATGATGAGGACGGCGAAGAGGAGGACGATGAAGAGGATAATGGTGATGTTGATGAAAGCCAAGGTGAAGAAGAATTCAATGAGGGTAACAAGCCATCAACTTTTAAAATAGACTTGCTGATTTTTGTATATCACGTTTTCTTAAAGAAGCTTTGAAAGTTTCTAAATCTGATTTGGTGGTTGATTGATTCTGCTTCTGGTTTGGTCATATTATCCTGGGCTTGATGTGGTTTTTTCTTCTCACAGATGATAATGAAGACAGTGATTGAAACCCAAAGGAGCATTCAAGATTCTCGCGTCTGGTCCTTGATCAGCGTAGCAACGAACCAGAGTAAACTTATTTTCTACGTAGTTTCCCTTTGTCTTTAGTTAAATTGGAGAGTTTGTAGTCAGCGATGTTAGAGCTATATCTAGGAGATTGGACGTAGTATTACTGTACAATATTTTTTACTCTTCATGATAAAGACGAAATAAAAGGAAACTTATATAATTTTGATTTATCCTTCGTTTCAAATTAGGAATTCAATGTTTCTTCCAGTGTTATGACTTCACATTAGTTGAAGATGCAACGCTGTCATGACTTTTTGGCATTATAGAAGACATTCCTTAGCTGTTTAAGGCTTACTTATGTGCTCATTGATAGCAATTTGGATCCCAATTCAATCTGCTATAACAGTAATAGGGACTTACCAAGTTGAAAGAGAAAATAGGCTAAATAATAAGGAACAATTTCTCTTGTGAGATGTGATATTTTTCTGTGTTTACAGTGAACAATTTCTCTTGAGAGCTGTTGCAAGAAGTGGTTTGTGAGCATTTTGAGAAAAGTGAGGAATCATCTCTGATTGTTGTTAACTCTTGTATTCTTCTCTCATAGAATCCCTTCTCCTTATTTTTATAATCGTTCTTATTGCTTAAAAGTTTTAGGTTGATTTATTTGCACTTTGAAGTGCAAGTGTCAATGGTTTATTACATAGTATTTAGAACTAGAACTTCGATATGAAATTATTGTGTAATATATTGTCTATGTCTACAGTGTGCAGTTTCTTCCCTAGAAAGAGCTGATGTAAGAGTAATTTGTGGGCCTTTTTCTTGGAATAAAAGTGGAATCATCCTTGAGGGTTGTAAACTCTTGGTGTTCTTCTTCTCTCGCACTATTTTAGTGCAATCTGCATCAGTAGTAGAGAAATGGACGTAACCCAACCGGGTACATCTCTTATCTTTATCTTTTATTATCCTTCTATTGCTTAAAGTTTTAGATTCCATTTTTTTATTCCGCATTATTGGAAACTAGATCCTAGTTAATATATTGCCTAGTTAATTTAGATTACTGTGTTATGATGATATGGAATCAACTTTAGAGAAACGGATTACCTTGATGATCAAGATCAAGAGTCAAGAAAACTTGTTTATAAACTCGTGATTCAAATCACTGTGTAAGAGGTTTTATTAATACCACTTGAATGACTCTGGTATACAAATTCTAAACACAAGAATTTACAAAGTATAAGTTTAGCTCTCAACAAAGCTTAAATAGAAACTCTATTCTTTTCGATTCTAAAATGTTATATAGCCTTTGATAACCTTAACTTAGGTGAATTGTGAGTTACTCATAACTTCCCCATTAAAATGACGAGCTAATGATGGAATATGGTAACTGATGTGGGTTACAATATAAACTTTTACTCCTATATTAAAAATTAGCTTAAATAACCAATAAATATTTTAATAAAAGAAATGTATCAGTGACCATCTTCGTACTAGTTCTATAAATTCAACTCTGAGTTTATTAAATGTAAATTAAAATGCATTTAATGCATCTCGTTCGTACCTCAACTTTGCACAATATATAGGAAATGTCTCCAACTTTTTTTAGAATTTCTTTTGACGAGTTCACCATAACTTGAATATAAGTGACTAAAGTAAGTTGGTTATGGTTATTTCTTGATTCTCATTTTTGTAAGTTGGTTACTTCTTGATTCTCATTTTTGTAATTGGACCTTAAAGAATGAATTTTTTGGTCGTAGTTAATATCATTTCTATTATTATCTTTTTACTATATTATTATCTCTTCCTTCCTCCTACTCGCCTAGAGATTCTCAAATAATAGAGTGAGAATATTTTTTAAACATAGTGATCGATCACATTGGTAGTTTCTTAGTTTACAAAAATTGATTGAAGTAGACTTCTTTCAACTTTTCCAAAGTCTTTGATTTCATTAAGTTGTTGAAGATACAAACTTACCAAAGAAGACTTGGAAAAGATGCATTTTATTGTCCTCATCTTCCTGCATAGTCTTTTGATAGACTTATCCTCTTACGTCCTTTTATACGCCCCTTTATACATTTTTTTATTTTATAAATATTTGTATTTTCAAATTTTCTACAACATGGAAAGCTATATTTTTGGTTACACATAATAATTTTTAGTTTGTTTGGAATAATTTTTTAAAATAATATTCTTCTCTTCGGATAAGAAAATCAAATTTTCTATATGTTCAAAAAAATTAATATTTAAAGTACTGTCTACACTAACGTACTGAATTATTGGATCAAAATATGTTTTTTTTTAATTTAATAACTAAAAAACACTTTTATGAAACAAAAAAATTATTATTTGAAGTATTTAAAAATTTTAAGATAAAAACATTTTTAATAGAACATGTTAAAAAAGTTTAAAAGAAATTCCAAACGTTACCTATACATAAATTTTAGTAATAAATTAAATTAATAAATTAAATCAAAATGTATTTTCAAAATTAGTTAATATAAATCATCAAATTTAAACTTATGATAATAAAATTACTATGATACTTTTGTATTGAATAAAAAAGATCATCTCTTTACAAGATGTAGTTGATTAAACTAATTCACCTATAAGAAAAGCCATAATTAATCTCTACAAACAATTTTCCAAATTCCAAAAGGTCTCTGCCACATCATCCCCCAACACCCAATCAGCTGCAGCCATTTGGCCATCAAACTCTGCAACTCCACAAGCAGCACCCAACAAAGAGAATGGGTGTTGTAGCTGGTCCACCTGAAGCTCACCATTATCCAGTGGCTGCAGATCAGAATTATTCCCAAACTCTTCTGAAACACTTTCAGAGGACTCTGCCCATTGATAATAAACCCCAGAGCTCTGAATTGAGCTCTGGTTGGCTTCAATGGCGGATGAACCAGATGGGTTTTGCAGGAGATGTTGTGAGAAGCTCTCCAACGATGGAGAATTGAAGTTAAACGAAGTCGATGATGATCTTTGGTCCATTTCTTGAAGCAACCTCGGAATCCACAAATGACGAACTGTCTCCAAGAATTTTTCGCTGTTCAATTCGATGTTGAGCTGTTTTGCTTGTTTTTGTATCCGCGTTCTCCAGTAATTTTTTATCTCATTATCTGTTCTTCCCGGTAATTGTTGTGCAATCTTTGACCATCTACAAGTCAACAACAAATACACACGAACAAACAAGTTTTAAGTTCTTTGATTCGTCCATCATTACAAGTAGAAAAAAATAAATTTTTTGAATCGAAACGGTTTCGTACCGGTTGCCCCATTTGGAATGGAGTTGGAGGATGAGGAGCTGTTCTTGAGGAGTGAGATTCCCACGTTTGATGTCGGGTTTCAAGTAATTCAGCCATCTCAACCTGCAACTTTTTCCGGTTCTCTCGAGGCCTAGAGGAGGAGGAGGAAGAAGAATAAGAGGGATGGAAATAGAAACAGGGTAAACTTTTGTTTTTGCAAAAAGGACCTGCATGTTTGGCTAAATTGTTCCAATGCCCTTCACCATGAGAAGCAATATAGTGAATGAGGAGAGTGTCTTCTTCAATGGTCCATGGGCCTCTTCGCAGCTCACTTCTTCCAACACCTTCCATGGAGACACCAAGAACACAGAGAAAGAGAGGATTTTTATGTGCTGATTTGAATGGGAGAGAGAGAGACAGCAGTGGGAGAGATTTATAGAGATTGGGAGAGAGAGGTGGGAGAATTTCATCACATTTTCCTTCCTTTTTGTGCTTAAATTTGGTGGAATTTTCTTATCAAATTTACCCAATTCATTTTAATAATACCCTCTACTAATTTAATTATTATTAAAAAAAAAAAAAAAAAAAACTTCAAGACTTCTCTTTTATTTATTTATTTTTAATTTTAACTTTTGAGTTTTTATTTATTTTAACTCTTAGGTTCATGCATGTTGTAATGCAAATTGATTATAAGTTATAATAAATTAATAAAAAAAAGAATAATGTTGACTCATTTGTATTTTTTTAAATATAAAATATTTTATTTAGAATTTTATTTGTTTTAGTATTAAAAAAAATGTTTTTAATATTTGACTAAGAATTCAAACGTATAAGAAATTTGGAAATGATAGGAAGAAAATCGAGAGGAAATAAACGTGATTATTTTTTAAATTGTTATCAAATGACTCGGTAAGTTTGCATGATGATTATTTTTTAGGGTTAAATTATTAATTTAGTCCGTGAACTTTCGTGTTTGTGCCTAATAGGTCAATGATCTTTAAATTGTTATAAAATGACTCGGTAATTGTGTGTAGTACGTTCTCCAGTGTATTTAACATTTAAATATATACATTAGTGAATTAGTTAAATAAAAAAAATTAAAATCAACCTTTGTTTCGTCGTTTAAGATTTTTAATCTCTAATAACTAAACTAGATGATAATCGATGTTTATATTCACTAAAATATGTTTGGAGCAACTTAACCTGTTGAGTAGCAAATTTCTGTTAGCTATTTTTCTTGTTATTAGTGGAGTTAGATGAGTCGTGTGTCCTCTTTCATGTATTTTTTTCCAAGGCATTGGACTCTATGAATGAAAGATGATCATTTGAGTACCTTTGCCAAGTCTCTGTAATTTACAGCTATCATAACCCGTCTTTAATTAATGAGTCAATATTTATGTAGTAGACAATCAAATCATTAAACTGTAGGATGATAATCTGTGAGATCCCACTTCGATTGGTGCAAGACTGTAGAAACCTATCTGTAATAGACAGCATTTTAAAACCTTGAGGGGAAGATCTCGAGGGAAAACTCCAAAAAGAACAATATCTACTATCAGTAGACTTAGGTTGTTACATAATCGATGTCTTTACTCACTGAAGTATGTTCAGAGTAGCTCAACAAGTGTTTATTAATGAGTTAATATTTACCTATATTTTAATTTTAAAATTTATCACCCTCAAGTTATTAGTTATGACAATAAGACAAACTTTGAAGAAAAAAACTCATGGTTTAAGTTTGCTTTTCGAAAAGTGCTTTTTAGTATAAACAGTACTTTCGAACCACTCGAGACGACATATTTCGGAAAAAAAAAATGAAAGAAATAGAAGGGTGGGGGGACTAGAGGAAGAGGAAGAAAAAGATGGTATAATTATAAATAGAGAAGGGAAAGCGCTATTTGATTGACGATAGACATAAAGTTCGGGGAATGAGAACCAAATTATGAATATGAATATATCACTCTTTTTTTCAAATTTTCACGACCGGTGTTGAAAC